TATAATTATATAGTTATATAGTTTTAATTGAGATCATGAACCGATCAATGATAGACCATTATTGAAAACGTGGAAGTACTGAACGGACCGTTTCATCATTGTATGGGACTCTTTAACAGTGTGTATCCATGATCTTAATTAAAACTTAACAATCTCCACAACTCTACACTGATAATCATGTAGTTTCATTCAATTGATTAATTTTGATTGATTTTATTTTTGTAATAATTATTTCTCATAATTGACAAAAAACTCCTACTGATATTAATCAATATATGCTCACTAGTGACTGGTTTCAAGAGGTATTTCCTGGAGTTCTAGTGAAAAACACTGACCAGTCGAGTTCAACTGGATCTGTTGTGAGATAGTAACTCATTGAAGACAATGGTGAACGGTGGCTTAATTTCACAGAAGTTAGACATTAACATCCTTGGATACCGGTTGACTCAGTGGTCTATAGGTTAAGCGCTCGCGCACGAGACTGATAGGTTTTGGGTTCGAACCTCACGAGGCGGGATCGTGGGTGCCCACTGCTGAGGAGTCCGATACTATGACGTAACGATCGTCCAGTACTTCCAGATTTTCCATTGTGGTCTAGCTTCAATTGACTGATGATCTCAACGATAACATTTTATAATATTTCTAAATCTCTATAGTAAAAATGATATGATATTAAATGACAATGACATTTTATCTGATCTTTTAAATGTCGTGATATTTCAATTTATAATTTACACCACAGATTGGTGTTATCCAGATACACATTGAAATTAGATTGTACCAGAGAAGTGTATTGTCCTTCAACAGAGATATATTTTTAAGTGTGCAAACCATAAGTCCCACTTCAAGTTTTCATACGAATACTTTACTTCTGCATTGTTGTTCTATTTTACATATTTTGATATCTAGTCATCTTGTGATTATAATCATTGAATTCATGAATCCAACTAAGCTAGATCATTGTCCAATGGTTTAACTTAGATCGACTAATCAATTGTTCGATCAATATAGTAGATAAAACAACATTAACCGAAAACGGAAAAGAAAGAACCTACTTGAGATGGTGAAGAGGATTTGTAGCTCAGGTGAATTATTTTGATAGTTTGGACGTAGAGTTTTAATCGTTCTTCTGAATGACATCATATCAACACAAACTTCAAGTAGAAGCGAAGTGTTCGAATTTCTTCACATGTGACTCACAGCTTGTCTTAATGACCTCAATCTTGATTGGTTCTTGTTGACCTAAAAACAGTAATTGTTCATTTCTACGTTTTCGTTGTATCTCTCATTGGTCAACAACAATCAACCACCATCGAGGTCTACAGGACAAGTTATGAACCATAGGTGAAGAAATTCGAACAGTTCGCTTCTACTTGAAGTTTATGCTGATATGACATCATTCAGAAGAACCTTGAATACTCGACGTCCAAACCATCCAAATCAGAGAATAAAACACCGTCAAAAAGAACCTACTTAATAGACAATATACATTTTTTAAAAAAAACATATATTTTATCTGGAAATTTATCGAAAATCATTTTAAAAACCCCGCCCGCCCCCCAACCGAAAAAAGTTAGTAAGAACGTTCATTTATTCATTTATAGGTGTTAAGTTAATTTATCAATTAATTGGGGGGAGAGGGGGAAAACAAAACAGAAAACAAACAAACAAACAAGCAATGAATTAGTTATTTGTTACTACTCAATAATGTTTATGGATTAATCTACAGTAATTTATGAAGCCAAATGGAAAAATGAAAAAAAACCGATTTGAAACAATGAAAAAAAAATTTAAAAAAATTTTGTATTTTTTTATGAAAAAACAAAACATGAAAGCCAAATGAGTTGATAGGGAAGCAACAAGTGAGTGTAACAAATTGCTATACACATTAATACGCTTTCATAAATTAATTGAAAGTAGCAACAACAAAAAAACACGTATAAATAAGGTTCTCTAGAGAGTTCATAGAGTAATCACACCTACATGAATAGGATTAACGATAAAAATAACAGATAAATATATAGAGAAAAAGTAGGTAAATAAAGTTATAAAATATACAGTTTGAAATCATGAGTCAGTTGAAGCTAGACCACCATTGAAAACCTGGAAGCACTGGACGGCCGTTTCGTCCTGGTATGGGACTCCTCAGCAGTGCGCATCCACGATCCCGCACCACGCGGGCTCGAACCCAGGACCTACTGGCTTCGCGCGCGAGCACTTAACCACTAGACCACTGAGCCGGCATCCAACGGTGTTAATGTCTAACTTCAACCAATCCACGAAGTTGCGCCACCGTACACCATTGTCTTCAGTGAGTTGTTATCTCACAACAGACCGGTTGAACTCCACTGGTAACGGCTTCTCACAAGAACTTCAGGAGTTTTTCCTGAAGACAGTCACTAGTGAGCAGTTGATTATTATTATTATCAGAATGGGTTTTGTGGAGAATTTTAGAAATTTCACAGTTTGAAAACATAGTTGATGATAATGAGTCGATAGTAAGCAGATGAATTAAATTCCAGTGTACAATCATCAATAATCCGATCAGTATGTACTGAGGACGCAGGTATTTCACCCAATTTCCATATAAATATGCTCAATCACTTGTTCCTGTTGATGTGTGTCGATCTGCATCTATGAGTGTCTGAAATAAATTGACTATTGATTGGCATATGAATCGGGTGTAAATGGTCGGATAGAAACGGTGTGGGTAAATTTTGATGAGTAACTCTATATCCTACTGAAATACAGTAAGTACATCAGCGACAGTGTGTATGTCGTGAACGTATGGAATGGCTGAAATTGTGTTTACCGTGTGAATAGTTCAAATGTTTGATGAGAATATTGTACGAAATGTAGCTGGTGGTGTTTATTGTTTGGTATCAGTGTCAGATGTTTATGGTATTTGAATGATACAAGAAGTTGTGTGCAAAGTATAATGTGTATGTATGGTAATGTAGTATTAGTGGTATATATAGCACTAGTCGTGTGATTTTCATAACTCTGGTGTCTCCTCATTTGCGGATAAATCTTTCGCCTTTTACTAAAGATTTCCGTGGGGAGGCACAATACAATGAGTCTTAACTCATTTTTTCCAACTCCGTCCTTGCACGGAGTATTATCAAACAATATAGATAACATACTGTGACCATGCATGCGCTAAATTTGCCAACCAACTACTACTACTACTACTGATTAACTAACTTACTAACGGTCAATCAAATCATCCACTCTTATATCAACTATCTCATTATTAATAATAACACATACACACTCTTCAATCAACAAATAATCGCCATCATCATCTCATCATACACACTAACTAAGCTTACACAATCAACCCAACCATCACCTCATCTGATAACACTTACAATACAGATTAACTAGAATCCACTCATTAATCACTCACTCCTATCACCTATACTTGTTCCTGTTGATGTGTGTCGATCTGCATCTATGAGTGTCTGAAATAAATTGACTATTGATTGGCATATGAATCGGGTGTAAATGGTCGGATAGAAACGGTGTGGGTAAATTTTGATGAGTAACTCTATATCCTACTGAAATACAGTAAGTACATCAGCGACAGTGTGTATGTCGTGAACGTATGGAATGGCTGAAATTGTGTTTACCGTGTGAATAGTTCAAATGTTTGATGAGAATATTGTACGAAATGTAGCTGGTGGTGTTTATTGTTTGGTATCAGTGTCAGATGTTTATGGTATTTGAATGATACAAGAAGTTGTGTGCAAAGTATAATGTGTATGTATGGTAATGTAGTATTAGTGGTATATATAGCACTAGTCGTGTGATTTTCATAACTCTGGTGTCTCCTCATTTGCGGATAAATCTTTCGCCTTTTACTAAAGATTTCCGTGGGGAGGCACAATACAATGAGTCTTAACTCATTTTTTCCAACTCCGTCCTTGC